ACTTTGTAGTACAACTTTAGTACGTGGAGTAGCTGGGGAGCTGGAAGATGAGAACTGGCGACTTGGTAGTACAACTTTAGTGTACGCGGAGTAGCTGGGGAGTGGGAAGATGAGAACTGGCGACTTGGTAGTACAACTTGAGTACGCGGAGTATCTGGGGAGCTGGAAGATGAGCACTGGCGACTTTGCAGTACAACTGTAGTACGCGGAGTAGCTGGGGAGCTGGAAGATGAGAACTGGCGACTTGGTAGTACAACTTTAGTGCGCGGAGTATCTGGGGAGTGGGAAGATGAGAACTGGTGACTTGGTAGTAGAACTTTAGTACACGGAGCAATCTGTGGAGCTGGAAGATGAGAACTGGCGACTTTCTAGTACAACTTTAGTACGCGGAGGTGACTTTCGAGAGGTGAAGAACTTGCAGAAAACAGGTGTTCCTGCGCTTCAGAAAGACATACAGAGAGAGACACATACACACACAGACATAGATACACACACACACACACAGAGACCCACACACTGCCTCAACACACTCGACTTAACACTTCACACTGAACACTTATAACACACTTAACAGATAACTTGCACTCTGACTTCCTACGTGATGAAATATGCTTTCGGGCCACTCGTCGTCTAGTTTTTTTTCCGGCCAGGTATACTCTTCTACCAGGAGGCGAGGACGGGCGAGGGCAGAAGACGAAGACAAATACCTCAGGACCCACGCTCGTACGCTGTCGGTGGGACTTGGCGCTTTCATCGGCGCGGCGCCACACTGAGCTTCATGAAACAGCCTAGCACAAGAGACATCTGAGAGGTTTCTCGCCAACCCTCTTGTTTTTCTCGCCAGGTGTGCTCTTCGACAAGAAGGCGAGGACGGGCGAGGGCCGAAGACGAATACCACAGTACACACGATTGTACGCTGTGTCAGTGCTACTTGGAAAATGGGTTCCGGTGCTTCGCGGCCAGTCACTTGTAAGCACACCTCGTCGTCATTCCTCTCGCCACGCCGCCGTGCCATGACTGCCCTGCGCCCAGTGGCTTGGGAAGCGTGGGTCGCGGAAGCGAGGGTTTGGTTGCGCCTACATCCGCGCGAGGACCATCGCGGAGTGCCACGCGAGGAGCGCCAGCGATCTTTTCCCAAGAGGGCGGCGTTTGCGCTGGTCACTGCGGCTGAAAACTTACCTGGACGAGACCTCGGAGCCCAACCTTGCGAACTTTGCGGGCAGTGGACGCATTCCTGGTGCGAGGCTTGTTCGCTGCGGCCGTTCAACGCCGTTTGCACCCAGTGCGATGCCGATCACCTTATCTGTCGACCATGCCAGCGTCTTGGGCGGTCGTGGGAAGCGGCCCGCGCTGCAAATACCACACCGCCCGATTGCATTGAACTCAGCGGCTACCACGACCAGACTGGCAGGTTTGTTCAAGTGGACCCCCCGCTCCGCATCCCACTGGCGGACGTGTCACCAGATGGCACCCTCGACGCCGCCCAGTTGGCCCAGATGGTCGCCGCCGTGTCTCCGGAGCGGACACCGCAGTGAGAGTCTCCCGACGCAGGGTGTCACCTAGATGTTCACATGGTTACCAACTGCATGTCTCATACCATGAATTCTTCCTTACAAATCCTGTGTGGGCGTCGTTTTGCGGAAGCACGACAAGTATAGACATAGTGTCGGGGAGTCTCTGCCCTATACAAGGGCTAGTCGCGAGCTGAACGGCCAGAGCACACGAAAACATGCGCCGTGCCTGCTATGTGTCACCTCGCGCTACTTTCTTGCATGTTTCTGTAGGAGAGGCGATTGGAAAATGAGCAGCATAGTGGTTCTTAACTACATCTAAAGCGAAGCACATGTCACCCTCAGAGCGTGCCAACCGACTGTGCATTTTCCGTGGCTGACCTCTCGGTGCTCACAGTGACATTGCAGAAGTCTCCATACAACTGGGGCCAACTGCCACAATATCAACTCAACAGCAATGAAGAATATACTTGCAAGAAGTTTGAACGCGCCCCACAAGCTTTTGCAATATTCATTTCCCACATAAACCTTTACAAGGCAAACCGAGCCTTCTTATAGCTATGCATGTGCTATTTACCCATTTGCAGCCCACTAGCTCGTAGGTCTCCCTCTTTGCCCAGCCATCATGCCAGGGAACCTTGGCATTGTTGAGGATCACTTCTTCAGCGTCGCCCATGATGACCAGAGACAGGTGTGCCTCTGTTGGTCCTATGGAAGGAGGACATACCATGACGACCAGCCAGAGCTCATCCATGCAAGATGGCCAAACCAGTCCATAGCAAACAGATACTGGGTTGCCCATGGAGAAACATTGCAGTTTTGGCGAGTGGTCCAGTCAATGGCGCGACTGGGTGAGGAACAACAGCCGCAACTTCACAGATGCCTACACCATCCGGACGCGCTAGACCCAACCAACTGTGTGTCTCATACCGTGACTTCTTCCTGATAAATTCTGTGTGGACGTCGTTCTGCGGAAGCACAACGCTATCCTTGCTGTGTACAAAGACTTGTCGCGAGCCGAACAGCGAGAGTGCGCTAAAACATCTACAGTGCCTGCTGTGTGTCACCTCACGCTACTTTGTCGCGTTTTTCTCTGAGACAGTCAATTACTCAATGACAAGCATCGTGGTTGGTTAACTACATCCTAGAAAAGCTGTGTCCTGGAGTGAAGTAAACGTTTTTGCCCGGAAGATATATATCCATGGATGCCTTTCCTCTGACAGGTCACTGCTTCGAGACGCTTCTGGCGTGGCTGCCTCAGCATTTTCTGCGTTCATTCCAGCTCGGTTTTTAACCTCGTGCTACTTCGTTGCATGTTTCTGTAGGAGAGGCGATTAGAAAATGAACAGCATAGTGGTTCTTAACTACATCTAGAGCGAAGCACATGTCACCCTCAGAGCGCCTGCGCCAACAGACTGTGTATTTTCCGTGGCTGACCTGTCGGTGCTGACAGTGACATTGCAGAAGTCTCCATACAACTTGAGCCAACTACCAAAATATCTACTCAACAGCAGTGACGAATATACTTGGAAGAAGTTTCACGGAACCCACAAGCTTTTGCAATATTCATATCGCACATGAACCAGAGCCTTCTTATGGCTATGCATGCGCTATTTACTACTTTGCAGCCCACTAGCTCGTAGGTCTTCCTCTTTGCCCAGCCATCATGCCAGGGAACCTTGGCATTGTTGACGACCACTTCTTCAGCGTCAACCAGGATGACCAGAGGCAGATGATTCACACGTTATTGTTCAGTCTGCAGTGCAGCATGTGGTGATGCAATTGTTGAGATGGCAAAGCCAGCACGCTGGCTAGCATCATAGTTGAAGTGGGTAAGCCAGCACGCTGGCTGCCATTGTCCAGATGGCAAAGCCAGCATGCTGGCTGCCATCATAGTTGAAGTGGGTATGAGCCAGCACGCTGGCTACCATCATAGTTGAAGTGGGTAAGCCAGCAC